TGTTTAACATTATACACATTATCCTTGATGCTCGTGAATAATAGAAATGTAAACACCATTTTTTAGCACAAATCAAGTTTAGAAGGAAAAGCACGTTGTAAATTAATAGGTATTTATATGAACGAAGCAAAAGGCCTATCGGTATTAAAAAAGCGAATGAAAGACATATACTTCTTTACCTACACATATTATAACTAGAAACTTTAACAGAACTTACAAGTAGGTGATTAAATAGTTTCGTCGAGCTCCGCTAAAACTTTTAGAGGTAGCTCTATTGCCACCGCCAGTGGTGTCAATAAGGAGTTATTACCATCATAAGGAGGTGTCAGTTAGAGCTACTGCCACCACCGGCGGTATCAGCTACGGCTGGTGACACCATCAACCTAAATTTCAGAAATAGAGGTGTCTACTCGTAAGGTTTTTTTTTCTGTATAACATCAATTCACAAGTCGTTTTGCGTGTGTTAGACAGATATTAAGAGTAATCAAATTTGATAGAACCTTCAACTAAGTCGCTGTTAGAACTTCGCCAATCAATTAGCTAAAAGTTCGGAATGGCTATTGCCACCACTAGGAGATGTCGATTAGGAAGAGTATGTGGTGTCAACTACGACTAGTGGCATAAAACAGAATGATGATGGTCGTTCGAACTATTGGTGTTGTCAATTAATTATGTAAATTATAGCTGACGAGAGAAAATCACTTATTCATAAGTTGTTTACTTTATTGTTTCTATATTTTTTCTCTCTCTCTGTTTGTCTGCATTTGTAGATTCCATGCCGAAAAATCTGTTAGGCGCGGAAAATTTGTACATTTTCTTTTTTCTTTTTGTTTTTGAATAGACACGATATACCTGGGAAGAAGTAAAACTACGTAAGAACTTTTAGCTAATTGGGTAGCGAAGTTCTGACAGCGACTTAGTTTAAAGTTCTATCAAATTTGATTGTTCTTAATATCGGTCTAACACACGTAAAACGACTTGTGAATTGATGTTATATGCGATGTTAGCGCGAAAAATGTTGCTCAAATATCAGACAAATACTCTATTTTCATTTGTTCAATTCTAGTTAATGGCATCTCATATTCCATGTGCTTATAATCGGTGTGAAACAGGCATTGGTATATTTGCTTGTCAAGGATGTGAACGCGTATTTTGCAAGAAGCATTCATTTGAACATCGTCAAGAGTTAGCTAAAGAACTCGATAAAGTTGTTAAGGAACATGATGTTATTCTAACGCAATTACAAAGCTTTGAAACAACAATAGACGTTACGTCTCATGCACTTCTGGATCAAATTGATAAATGGGAACAACATGCAAAAAAAATGACACAAAAAGCGGTCGATGAAGCACGAAGTAAGGTGTTGCAATCATTAAGTGATAATAATCATCAATTAACCAAAGAGTGTCGACTATTAATCGAAGACATTCGACCAAGTTGGGAAAGTGAAGATTATGTTGAAACAGATTTAAAGAAATGGAGACGACAACTGGATAAAATTAAAGACGAATTTTCTATGCCAAAAAATATACGTATTGAAAACGATCTGTTGTCACTCAAACACATGCTAAACGTTATTTCAACACCCCGAATACCGCCAACACCTCGACCATATGCAGTACAAAGCCGGAGCACAAAGGAATGCTTTGAGAAATACTGTGGGTTTATCCGTGTGGAAGAAAGTGGAAAATTAGTTATTCACACGGGTAATTCTGACATGGATGCAAGTGTTTATGGTGCAAAATTATACACACACGGTACACATCGAATTCCTGTTAAAATTGATAAAATGCAAGATAATTATTGGATATTCATCGGAATTGTTTCATCGTCGTTTCCAGCGAATGTCAACGCATCTGCAATAAAATCAGCATATGGATGGGCAGCTTCTAAAAAAGCATGTCCCTTTGTTTATTTGCAAGGTATTGAAATGAATGGTTCTCATTACGCGTACAATGGCGATATATGTAAGAATGACATTATTGAGTTGATACTAAATTGTACTGAAAGAAAAATTCAATTAGTGAATAAACGAACAAATAACAGATATGAAATAAACGTTAATATTAAACAGTGTCCATTTCCGTGGAAAATAGCTGTAACACTTTATTATAGTGGCGATCGTGTACGCCTCGTATGAATAATATAAAATGTACTGATTCAAACAAAAATATTTCAAAAAAAAGTTAAAACTTTAATATGGTTCTTAAAGTTAACTATTAATATGGTTCTTATGGCAAGTAGAAAGGATTTAGACAAAGAGAGGGCGTGTTAATAAAACTAATGTGTACAAGTTTGATCTCAACTTCAAAGTGAGTCTGAGGTGAATGATTGACCTTGATTGTATTATGTTCCCGAAGAGAAAACCGGGTAAAACACGGTGAAATCACGTAAGGGAAGT